GAAAGAGTAGTGAGCGTATGCTGTGTACATGCACGGCCTGAAGTGTGTGCAGGTGTGTCCTGTACTGTGTGTGTGCATTGCGTATGTGTGTCCTGTACTGTATGAGTACTGCACTGGGCTGGCCTGCCTCTTTGGAAGGAAGGATATGTGTGTGTGTGTGCGTGCGTGCGCACAAACACATTGTGTGTCCTGTCCTGTGTGTGCGCTGCATTGGACTAGTCTGTCTCTTTTGGAGGGAGGATGTGTGTGTGTGCACACGCATTGTGTACATGTGTCCTCTTGAAGGGGTGTGTGTTTGCTTGTGTGTATGGGGGGGGGTCTCCGCATGGCCCGGGATGTGTGTTGTGGGGCACCTGGGTGTGCACACGTGTCCGGGCTCTCTCATGTACCTCGGTGCTCTGTGGGTGTTGTGCAACACGCGTGTTTCTTCTGGTGAGCCCACGCCAAGTGTCAGTGCCAGGGGCCCTGCGGGGCATGTACACGAGTGTAAACCACTGGGCACCACTGTGAGGCATGCGTGTGTGCGATAGTGTCTGGACGCGTGTGTATGTATACACGTGGCACGTATGTCTTGTAGTGTGTGCGTACATGCGTGTCCTAGACTGTGTAGATATGTCATGCGTGTCCATGCCCCCTGTGCGTACTGCACGCGCGTGCGCCCGGTCCTGTGTCCGCGTGCATCCCGCCTTGTGTGTACTGTGCGTGCACGCCTATTGTGTATGTCCACTTGTGCCCTGCCGTGTGCACGTGTGCCGCCCTGTGCGTGCATGCATGTACACACGTGGAAGGTGGGCACTTGTGTGTGTATGTGTGCCCTGCCCTGTGCGTGCACTGCATCCTATGCGCGCACCTATGCCCCGCGTGCACACGCGTGCCCTCACGCACGTGCGTCCCAAGCTGTCCGCCTCTACGTGTGCGCATGCGCGTCCCTTCAGCGCCCTCGCGCGACGCGCCTGAGGGACTGCACCCCCGGCCCCGCTCGCGCCCTCATCCCCGCCCCCTCCCGCCGCCAGGGG